CCTGGCTATACCTCTACCTCTTTTAAACAATTTTGCTCATCATTTGGCATTACTCATATAACAGGAATCCCGTACAATCCACAGGAACAAGGCATAGTTGAAAGAGCTCATCAAACTATTCAAATGTACTTATTAAAGCAAAAAGAGGGAATTTGAAAGGGGTATAAATCCCCCAAGATAAACTTAAAATAACGCTTTTTACTCTAAACTTTTTAAATTAGGATTCATCAGGGCTTAGTGCTGCGGAAAGACATATATATCCAAAAAATGTACATAAGCCTAAGGTACTTTGGAAGGATATTCTAACAGGACAATGGAAAGGTCCTGACCCAGTGATTGTCTGGAGTTGGAGTTCTGTTTGTGTGTTTTCACAGGGAGAACAGCAGCTGATTTGGATTCCAGAGAGACTAACCAAAGTGATTTCTAACGACCAAAAAGAAGATGATTTGACTCAAATCCATAACTGATGCTATCCAGAGCTCCAGCTTGGCTATTCTTACATCTGCTACAGTGATTAACAAGGATGCTTTTGTCAATATCTATTTTATTATTGCCTTTTCCCACATCATAAAGTTCTATTTTATTTTTTGAGCTCATACAGACCTAGGTTAATGTTTTTCTGATCAGTTTTATTTTTTGACTGTGGAGTTTTTAAACATTGCAATGGAGATTTCACCTGTAAAAAACTATAAGGCCTTTACTATTATGTTATGAGTTGTATATATTATGTTATGTGTGCACACTTCTGTTTGTGTTGTATGTCTGTATGTGCGTATGTTCATATATTCATATATGAGGAGCGCTCAGGAGAAAAAGGGATCCGAATTTTTTTTATTCACATGATTTAAATGGTTTAATTTAAATTGGGTAAACAGCTGTTGAGGATTGTTTTAATATGTGAACAAGTAAGGAGGTTTACAGATCTGTTTGTTTACTTTCATCTTTCCTTTTCATTATATTTAATAATTCTGTTCAGGATAATGTAAATTTTTCAGAAAATTGTGTTCTTAGTGTCTATTAGAATGTTACATAATTTTTTTTTTAGCCATCATTGCCAGAATTCCTATCTTCATCCTAGTGCCAGTGAAGACAAAGATAAAACCAAACTACAGCTTCTTTGATAACTATCACAGTAAACTGTATAAACTGATGCATCAATGAATAATAACTCAACAAGTAATGCTCAATCAAGGAGTCGATTTACTTTGGGAGGAAATGGACATATTGATAGATTCCTCTGCTTTGAACTGCTTGCAGAACTTGCCTGGACTATGTATCACTTGTATATATTGTGAACTATCTGTTGGTGCAGCGAATTTTGGTAGCGCTGGAGTATCTTTGCTGATGGTGTCACTGGTGGTACAATTTTTCAAAGGAGCTGACAATTGGCTAAGTGTTGTGGCATTTCTTATATCCTCCTCCCTTCTGCTAGTGATGGTGTAAAATTTGGGGGCCAACAGAGGTGAGGCAAGAACCTCACCCCCTCCACTGGTGCAAAGGCCTATCCACAAGTATGGCTGTATGCTGGACCAGTAGTCAGTGATGGGTATGATCCAATTGCAGTGGTACCAACCTAAGACAGGAGGCTGACGCCTAGAGGTCAGCTCATCCGACGACGGGTAAGGACCATATGTTGTATTGGACAACCTAACAGGCACGGTCCCTAAGCCACATTGCTTGTTGTTGAATTAAACAGAAGGGGGGAGATTCTGAGAGCCACAGCTGAGTCGGAATGGCCCCTGGCATTTTGCCAATAGTATTGATTGACAGGCGAGGCATTACTATCCACCTAGGCTGCTACTTTGCAGTTCTCACGCTACTTTGGAGTTCTCCTGCTACTTTGGAGTTCTCCTGGAGATTCCCGGGGATTCCCGGAGAGTTCCCATTTGTTGGGGAAGTGCAGGAGGAGGGATTTCCAGAGGATATTTCCTGCTGCTGGTTCCTGGATGAGCCACGTGGTGTTAGGGAGGAGTTCCAGGGAGCGTGTGTGGAGCGTGCTGGTGGAATTCAGAAATAAAGTTTGTTCCTGCTTTAGTGGCTCGTGATTTGTGCCCAGCCAGACTGTGGCAGCCACCAGGAAGTTAAAGTTCAGACAGTTGCACTTAGAGCAGTGGGCAACATTGATATTGGAACTGATGAACAAACACAAATAGTTTTGAACTGTGATACCCTCTCACACTTCCCAGCACTCCTGACACATCCCAAAGAGAAAATTAATAAATAAGCAGTTTGGTTCCTCTCTAACATCACTGCAGGAAATCAACAGCAGGTACAGGCAGTAATTGATGCCAATCTTGTACCAATGATAATATACCTTTTGGATAAGGGGGATTTTGGCACTCAGAAAGAAGCTGCTTGGGCCATAAGTAACTTAACAATTAGTGGAAGAAAAGATCAAGTGGCCTACCTATTCAACAAAATGTTATCCCACCCTTTTGCAACTTACTGACTGGAAAAGATGTACAGGTTGTGCAAGTAGTACTCAATGGATTAAGTAATATATTAAAAATGGCTGAAGATGAGACAGAAACCATAGCCAATCTTAAAGAAGAATGTAGAGGACTGGAGAAAATTGAAAAACTTCAAAATCATGGAAATGAAGATACCTACAAATTGGCCTATGATATCATTGATCAATTCTTCTCTTCAGATGATATTGATGAAGATCCTAGCCTTGTTCCAGAGGCAATTCAAGGTGGAACATTTGGTTTCAATTCATTTGCCAATGTACCAACAGAAGGGTTCCAGTTTTATAAAGATATTGTGGAAGTTAGGTACAATGCAGCACTCAGATATATGTATATGTATATGTGTGTGTATATATATATATATAATCCATTAAGCTTGGCTCATGGGATCTGCTTCTGCATTAAACCGGGAAAGAAAATGTGAAGATTTCGTTTTGGAATCACAGGAAATGCCCAAATGAGTTCAAGATGGCGAGTGGGTGCAAGTGAGAATAAGTGGCAAAATGTAATGAAAACTTTACATGGATGCTTATTTAGGTTGTTCAAAGTAAAAAGATCTTCAGTGCCTGAGAAGGAACATTGACTTACTCTATATCATTTGAGGGGAAAGTGAAATACTGTCATCTTCAAGCCTTGTAAGCATAAAAGAGAATAGAGTGCCCATATAAGTCAAGGAAAATGAGCCCAGGCTTTGCTATAAAGCAATGTGTGAATGGACAATGTTGAATGAATGTCTGGCTCGGTGATAGAGAGCCAGTTTCATCTTTCAAATCTAGGGCTCTTCACTCATGAAGCGGATTCCTAGTCCTGGAGTGACTGTGTATGAGAGTGTGGTTGTGCTGCTGTATGTGAATGCATGCAAGCTTGATTTGCCTTCAGGGGACTGATAACAAACATAGCAAATCATCAAAGTGAGATCATAAGTGTTAATGTACACTGGACATGAAAACAAAGACTGATTTAGCAGCAGACATTGGTTTATTCTGCAGCCTGTGTTTTCTATTTCCTCTCTCCCCCAAAACTCCCACCCCCATTTTTTTTTGTTTTGTCATCCCCCCACCCATTTTTATTTACTTTACCTAGTATGGCTCTTTTAGTTGCTTTTCAGGTCAGAAAAATTTTCAGGAAGGTTTCCCTGTGCATTTGCACAGATGAATTGTTTGATGCTATGAAAAGCTTTCCATATCATCAAAACTAATTTGTGTAGATAGATTTTTGCATGTAAAAAAATCATAAATTTCCCTCAAAATAGACTGTTGCAGTACACAAGTTACCATAATAGTAAAAAACAATGTGCTTAAAAGGCCATTCTTTTCATTTTCAGAGATAACATAAAGACCTTTGCATGAGGTAAATCTACAGCATAATTCATCTTTAGATTTTGTTGAGTCCTGTAAAGAAGAAGAAGAAAAAAGTTTCAGTTGTGATAGAATACCTTGCTGTGTTTCAATGTTACTTGTTTTCAATGAAAATGATATGGAAACGTCTAAGATGGAATTTGGTGCATATGTACTGCTGAATAAAGACCGATGAAGAGGAAAAAAAAATCTAAGTCAGAAATTGAGCCCTCTTTTTAACCAAGTCCTGAGATGAATTATCATATTGAATTGCAAATTCAGAGGAGCAGCTGGGGCTTCTCCCACCTTTTTTTTTCCTGAAGCCAGTTGAGTTAGACATTTAGCTATTAAGTAGATTTTTATGGGTTAAAATCCCATCAGTCTAGAGAAATGGGTTACTGAAGGGCTTAGCTTAATAAAAGTATTTGATTTGCACTCAGTTGATATAAGACAAAGTCTTGCAGTCCTTAGGGCAGGAATTAAGTATACTTAGATCTTTGAAGGCTCTTGTTCTAAGTTTAACCTAAATTGCTAGCTTAAGATTGATAATAGGGATGTAAGGGGGAGGGAGAGGGTAGATAGAATTATAGGATGGGTATAAAGGGGATTGTTTTTGTACTTTCGAATTGTCATTTTATTTTAATATTATTGGAGGGTGAAAATAATATTAGGAATGTTGAGTAAGTAAATTATATGTAGAACTATAGGTTTAGCAGAGCTGTTATTGCTCTTTATGGGTATAATAAAGTTATTATTTGATAAAAGTTCCTTAATAATAACTCATTTTGAGGCGAACCCAGCTAATAGAGGAAGTCCACCTAGGGATATAAGTACAATAAGAATTATGGAAATTTATTTCATATAGTGGAGAGTGAGAGGGTGGTGGGTTTTTTATTGTAATGGAATAACATGAATATGTTGCTTAAAGCATAATATAAGTAATTAGATTAAACATATTTAGTGTGGGGTTGAATGTGATGATTGCTATTATTCAGCCTATGTGAGTGAGTGATGAGTGTGCTAGGATGTTTTTGTAGTTGGGTCTGGTTTACTTGTCCTTATCCTCCTAATATAAGGATAGTATCACTATTGTTATTACTAAGGAAAAGTTGATTGAGGGAGCAATTTGAAACATACTAGAAATTGGGACAATATTTTGTCACGTCAGTAGAATTAATCCTGAATGTATGTTTTTCCCACAGTTTACAAAATAAATTTTAAAATAAGACAATTTTAGTAAGTAAAGGACTTAGAACATGGACTTGATCCTGAAAGCTCTGAAGTTTTAGAGTTGACCAGAGTGTTTGGTTTTAGCATAAGCCCATTTTCATATTCTTAAAAGCTTTACACCTTGCAACAGTATCTCCTTGTCATCATGTTCAAAGAGCCACACATCTTCTGAGCTCTGTATTTTGTAGTTGAATTGTGAGAATTTAGCAACACAGGTGTCATCACTTTCCTTCTTTTGAGAGCCTGCTCCCTTTACCTCCATGTGCAGTCAGCTTGATGGGAGCCTCGAGAAGCCAGCAGACATGGAAATCAGGGGCTGCCTGCAGCTCAGATGTTTGTAATGAGAGAGGCTTATGTATATGAAATCATGTCATCTGCAGACAGGGGTAATTAGACCTCCTTCTAACTAGTTATACATGACAGCAGAATGCATTTTGATTCATTGTACACAAATGAAGCACAGCATTGCATTTCTACGGTTGTCCATGAAGTAGAATCACACCATTTGTGCAGTACACCATTCATGCACTTGTACATGTACCTAGGATAGTGATATCCATCTCATTCCACTATCTTTCCTACCCCATGCCCCTTCCCATTCCCTCACTGTCCTCTGCCCAATCCAAAGTTCCTCAGTTCTTCCCATACCCACCCCCCACCATTATGGGTCAGCATCCACATATCAGAGAAAACATTTACCCTTTGGTTTTGGGGGACTGGCTTATGTTGCTTAACATGAAATTCTCCAGCTTCATCCATTTACTTGCAAATGTATGGCCAGTACTTCTAATAGTGTATCGAACAAGAGTTTTGTCTTGTTCCTGATCTTTTTAAAAAATATTTTTTAGTTGTAGTTAGACACAATATCTTTCTTTTATTTACTTATCTTTATGTGGTGCTGAGGATCGAACCCAGGGCCTGGCACATGCTAGGCAAGCACTCTACCACTGAGCCACAACCCCAGCCCTTGTTCCTGATCTTACAGGGAATGGTTTCCCCTCTTCACCTTTCAGTGTGATGTTGTTTTGGGTTTGTCATCCATTGCCTTTATTTGGTTGAGACACATTTCTCTTATTTCTAATTTTTGAGGGTTTTCATTAGAAAGGGAAGTAGAATTTTACCGAATGGTTATTCTCTAATGATTTAAATGGGAATTGTGATTTTAGTTTTGATGCCTTTATTTATTTATTTATTTTTTTTTTGGTGGACACAATATCTTTATTTTATTTTTATGTGGTATAGCCTGTTAGGAAGTCCAGCAAGAAGACTGTTGTCCCTTCAAAGCCTAAGGCAAAAAAGTACAGGGAGGAGAAAAACTGGTGCATTTTCCTGAAACAAAATACAGGCCTACACCAGCCCTCAGAACCTACATCTCCTCAGGTTCCAGGCCTCAGGCACATGAGACAGAGAATTACATCTGGGCTCCTTGCCCTCTCCTTAGCTCCAAACAAGGGCAGAGGTGTAAATGTGGGTGGGAGAGAAGGGATCATGAGACACAGCCATTAGCACCTGAACCACATCTCTTCCTAAACCAGTAATGTCAAGAGCAGTAAGAAATAAGTAAAGTGAGTGAGGGGTTGTACTTCTGGCACATTAAATAGGAGACAGTGAGGGGGGGGGGGGGTTTTCACATCAGGACATCAATCACTCAGGCCAAAGGGAGGGGTTATGGTCAGCACAGCTTCACATGTTTCCCTCTCTTCATTCATCCTGCTTCCGCTTAGGCTTCTTTGGGGGTTTCGGGATGACTCTTGGCTTTGCACAGAGGGCACATCGGTGCATTCCAGTGAATTTGCTGATGACAAGCGGGCCTTCATAGGTGGACCGCTGCGAGTGCCCAGAGGTCTCTCGGCGGCAGCTACCTCCCTCCGAGTACCTCCGCGGTAACTGGGGCTGACAAGTGGAGACCGCCTTCCAATCGGCGTCCTCCTGCCTGCTGTTCCCTGTGATGTCGCATTTGCCCTCCCGCGGGTTCCTGGAGGTTTTTTCCCCTGGCAGCTGCAACCACTTGCTGCAGCCACAGTAGATACCTCTGCCCCGGACCACGTGACCAGGAGATCGCCTGGTGACGCTGTCCCTACAGCTGCGCCACCGCTGGAGCCATAGCCGCCTGCGCTGCTGCTGCTGCTGCTGCTGCTGCTGCTGCTGCTGCTGCTGGCGAGCTGCCTGCTGCGGGGGAGACTCCAGCTTTGGTACCACGTGGCTGCACCAATTTTGGGACACCAAGCAGGGCCTGAGGCCCGGGTGCTGGCATGTTTACCACCACAAGAGCCTCAGGTGTCTATTTTGTCAATATCCCTGAGGCACAGGTGGTTTCAGAGTTGGATGACCCTTGCACATTATGTGTGTTCCAGGCTCCCTCACTGAGGAGCCTGGTGGAGACTCTGGAGACAGCCTTAGTCTCTGACAGCCTCTCTTCCGGGTCTACCATCTCCAATTTCTCCACCCAACAGGAGACAGACACAGTGTTGGGAAGGTAAGGCCACCCAGGGTGACAGGGTCGTGTATAGCTCTGAGTCCAGGAAATGGCCCTGTGCCTGTCAGCCTCAGCCTTCTCCTCTGAACTGTGGGGTGCCAAGAACACTGACCTCATGGAGGAAAGGCCAGGCCTCTCATACTGCTGCCCCCTTCTCTCCTGGGTGGTCTCTTCACTCCCTCACTTACCTCAGTATCCACTTGGTAATGTCCACAGCCAGGTCATTGTCACAGGTGCTGAAATGGAGGACCAAGGCCACCATGTCCCAGCCCTGTCAGAAAACCCGGAGCTCATGGAAGAAGAGGCCGAAGGTGAGGAGGACTGAGGTGGGGTATGAGTATGTAGGAATGGGATGGGGCTTGAGATGCAGAGCATTCCTTCCAGAAACTGGGGCAGGGCAGGCACAATGAGAAGCAGAGCTGTCACTGTCTGCATGCATTCTGGGGACACTGCCAGGGTTGGGCTCGTGTGTGGAACTGTGTGAAAGGCAGTGGGAAATATTTTTTCACTGGAAGGTGTAAAGCCAGATTTGTGGGACCCCAATAGACCTCCAGGAGCCGAATCCGATGCAGTCACTCAAGAGTCTTTTCTGCAAGCTTGAGCCTGGACTCACAACTGTTTCTGACGCAGAAGTCCCGAGGAGTGAGTCCCCACCTTTAGTTCAATGAGGATTTATAGGTTTTTTGGGGGTACTCTATGCATCACAACATCACACAGCAAATCATTTCATACCTCAGGAAAATCAAACAACAACTCTTAACATTGATTAGCACATTCACTGGCGGGAACGAGTTGGGTAAGGGTGTTTGGTTAGTTCAAGTGGTAGATACATTTGAACTGATTGGTTTAGGCCACAATGGGTGTACGTGGTAAACCTGCAGGGTTACTTAATCATGTTCTCAATCACAGAAATGACTGGGAGGGTCACCTGGCATTTCAGATATTTTCCCTGTCTCCCTCTGATTGGTTGTTGCTATGGTCCAACATCATGTCTTTGGGTCTTGCATTGCTGAGTCAAGGCTACCTAGTCACTGCAGTTAGGGGTATCTGGTTCCACGGGCCATTCCTGGAATTTAAGAAGCTGGGTCATCCCCACTTGGACAGGTCTTGCTCTGAAGTAGAGGCTGGTTTTTTAAAAAATGGAGTCACATCAGTTTCTCAGAAGGAACATGGACAGTTTCTTGACCTTTACTCCTCTTGTAGCTGCAGGGCCACCTCTGGTGCTTGGGGACGCTCCAGCTCAAATTCCACCACCTCCACCACCTGAGATCGAGCTGGAGCTGGAAGGACCTGTAATGGCAGATCCTGACCAAGAACTCCTGCTGGACCCTCAGGCAGTGCCTCTTACTGAGACCAACCCAGAGCCTCCATTCCTTGCCCCTAATTTCCTTTTTTTCGTTTTGTTTATTTTAATGTTTTATATTTTATGTACAGTTTGCTTGCTTTAAAATCAAACATTATACTTGTTTATGAAAATATACAGGTTATTGGCATTAAGTGCATTCTCTAAACTGTTCACTAGTCACCACTATGTCATTCCACTGGCCCTTTGGGGAGCATTTCAGATTCAAATTATAGCATTCACTGTCCTGATTGTGGTGATGATCTTACAGGTGTGAACACTGTGAATACTTGCCAAGTCATGGGCTTTAAGTGTGTGCAGTGCTTTGTGTGGCGATCTGCTCATTCAGCTGTGTTTACACAAGGAATAAATCAAATAAAAACTCTCAAATGAAAAGTTTTACAAGAGGAAGAGGGGGGATTGTATAAGATGCTGGCAATCTGGGCCCTCTTCCATGCCCAGGTCCAAGACTGGGAAGAGGGATGGACACTGCTGGGCCCTCAGCAGTTTCAGCTCCCTCCTCATGTGTGTCATCCTCAATGAAAAAGAGTATGGTGAGACATTGGGCAGGCCCACCTGTCCAGCCAGCCACCACTAGGCCTTCTGGAAAGCACCTGTCCAGCTCAGCACCACTGGCTCTCCTTCATAAGCATTGCCCAATAAATCTTATGTAAAGATATGAACTTTAGGGGCTGGGGCTGTAGCTCAGTGGTAGAGCACTTGCCTAGCATACGTGAGGCACTGGGTTGGATCCTCAGCATGACATAAAAATAAATAAAGTAAAGGCGTTCTGTCCATCTACAATTTTTTTAAATTATTAAAACAAAGATATGAACTTTATATCTCATACCCCATCTCCAGGTGTCTTCTTGGGTATCTCAGCAAACTATCCTGCTGCCCTAGCACAACAGGGCCTCCCAAAACTTCAGATCCCTCTGTCAATCTCACACAAGTCCCTGAATTAATTCCCCAGCACTACCATGCGAGGATGAATGATATAATCTGTTTAGCTCATAGTTTGGGAGGTTGAGAGCCCAAGATTGGATAGTTCCATCTGTCTGGCCTCTCGTGAAGTCCTCCTGGCAGGTAGCATTGCAGGGGTCAGAGCATATTGCAGACGAGATCACAGGACAAGATAGGAAGCTGCCAGTGCTTGAGATGTGGCTCAAGTGGTGGCGCGCTCTCCTACAATGCGTGAGGCACTGGGTTTGATTCTCAGCACCTCATTAAAAAAATAAAATAGAAAGATATTATGTCCACCTAAAACTAAAAAAATAAATATTAAAGAAATAGGAAGCTGCCAGAGCTAGCTATATATATTTTTAGTTATACATGAACACAATATCATTATTTTTTTATTCTTTTATTTTTGTGTGATGCTGAGGATGGAACCTAGGGTCTCACATATGCCAGACAAGCACTCTACCGCTAAGCCACAACCCCAGGCTTGCTCTTTTTATAAGAACCTGTTCTCTGGAAACTAAGGAGTCTCCCACAATACCTACATTAATTTGTGCCTCCAG